CTAATTATGAGTTCAAGTTTCCGCAAATAGGAATCAATTCGAGACAGTCATGATGACTTATGAAAAGAAAGTTGTGTTTGTTGGATCCCAGACATGCATCATCACGTGGTGTAATGCCAGACTGGAAGTTGTGATGTTTCCCATTTCCATATGATGGGAGGGGCAGTTGTTCACAAATCTGAAACTCTATCATTGGTTGGGGATTTTATGAATACCTAGTAGAAACTTTGAGGTCACAACAAAAGCTGCTGTTTTCTTTTAACAATTGTGTGTTTTGGGGATCTATAACAATTGTATGGAGTTTTAATGCAATGGATTGGATACATTATCTTAAAATTATATTGTGTACAAATCTCTTATACCAACACCTCTTCAGACTGATGGCTAAAAGTCAAATAGTGTCTGACTGACTGTCAACACTGTGTATGTTCAGTGATGATGAAAAAACATGAGCAATGTCCCATCAGATCTACGAGTTGTACACCATCTGACTTGAAGCCTCGTTATATTCAAGTTTACATGCTGTCATCTCAGACTAAGACAGCAGCAGATGTGTTTTTCTTATATCATCCATAGCTTTTAGGAGAAAATATCTCCTAAGACTTAACTCTAGTCCAGTTTAAATACAGTCAAATTCATGAATTAGCCACACAGGTGTCCATTTTATAATCACTCTGCAGCAGTACAGTGTAGCGGTAATTGAACCCAATCTCATTTGCAAATGAAACATGTGAATTGTACATTAATTCATACAGGCTTGGGTGTAAGCAGGGATTAGAGTGATGTTAACTGTTTATCAGGCGCCAGAGCTGCTCTAGGCACATTAGATGGCTGACTAAGTTGGCATCAGGGTACCATGCCCATGCCAGGGCCCATTAACAGTGGGTCGGCCCCTGGGAGGCACAACAATACAGATAATGATAATTCAGTCATCAAAACTGAGGTAGCTTGATTGCACACTTCACTTGGTTTGATGTCCATTGGGCAGCATCCCAGAATGGTTTGGTTTGGCATTCAGATAAATGTGTCCACTCCTGACTGCTTTTTCCCTTTTTGTATTGAGGGCTCAAGGAGACAAGGTGAATTCAGATTAATGACTGCTAACGAGGCAGCTATCAATGTGAAGAGACGGGTCATTGTTTGGGTTATTTCTCTGTTTATTACAGGCTTTCATTTCCCATCCTCTCTATCTCTTATTTTTAGCTACAAAATGACAGAGGATGGAGGAGCGTTTCCATTCCACAGCATGTCTGGTGCCCACATTTTTTCTTCTGATGTTCCCTCATCCTGGCCTTGAACATTTTATTCAGTAACCAGCCAACCAGTTTAATAAAAGTGCTAAGTGCTCTAACAGTACACAGGAAGCCTTTTGTATGCAGTAAGCTTTTGTGTCTAAACCTTCACACAATGCAGGCAAAACCCAACATAAATGCAAAATGTCGGACCTTCACCCTCTTGGCTTTTATGCTGTGAAAGTCTAGGTAGAAAGGGTGTATTTGCAGAAACCAGCTGTGTGGCAATACAGCTAGCTGACACAGTCTTAAAGAGTTCTTGATAAAGCTTTTAAAAGCTGAGGCGGCAGTTGGGGCGAAAAAAAAAATCTTCCACATTGCAAAGCGAGGCCATGTCAATTCATTAGAACTGTCACAGGCACTTAGGGCTCCTCTGAGTAGCGGACAGCTAACAGCGTGCCGACAGGGGGTGAACTCAGCGCGAAGGCTAACAACGACCCCATCCACACTTTAGCTCAGGGCTATAGCGCACAGAGGGGTCAGCCATGTTAGGCTAAGTGAGCGCTCAGTGGCTAATAGGCTCTGTTCCATTTGATCATACAGCCAATCTAACCTGGGAGAGCTCCACTGACTGAACCCTTTTCAGCAGGAAGCAGACAGGGAGGCAAGGGGCAGCATTGTTCAGGCTTTTTCTTTTTCGCCATTTGAGTGCTGATGATCAAATCTAGTGCTGTAGATTCTTGTACTGTAAAAGGGTTCTGAACAAAACCATATTAACAATCAGTTCAAGCAAAAATATACTATTGATTCAGAAAAAGAATAAACCGTTGGAGCTTTCTGCCATGAAAGTTTAAAATACAAAACGAACACCAGAAATCAGTATATATAAGCGATTTACCAGGATGGCCTTACACTCCTGTCTGCATTACATTCCTTTAACAAAACAAAACATCTCACAGCTAATGAATTTGGAATGCTTTGCCTTTACCAGTAACCCACAACAATGCTTTGAATCAGGACGTGAGCAAGGTTGCCTGTTGAAGAGGGATTCCAAAAATGTACCAAAAGTGATTTCAAAGGTTGTTAAAGAAATTCTTCTAAAATACTGAGAGTTGCTAGTTCTCTGAAGAATTACAGACTCGATGTGATGAATCAAATTGAGAGAAGACCTCAACATGGTTGTTCTCTGAAAAGGAGTCAGAGTGCCTTGCCTTATATACCATCAGGTTCAGTAAACAAAGGAACAACAGTTGTTGACCTCCTGAGGACGTTGATTCAATCAGTTATTCAATCAGGTGTTATTCATACCTTGAGCCTTCCTCATACATTGTCCTTTATGTTGGCTCTCAGTTGACTACCTCACAATTAAACACAGAGATTCATTCATACATAGTTATTCCCAGATCAATACATTGATTATTAAATCTAAACTGATCGTTTCCCTCAAGGTTCCTAAAGCTGAAGGATAGAAACAGAAAGGGAAAATGAAACAGCAATCCCATCATCATACAGTAAGAGTTGTAATGAATAAAGAAGCATTATTCCAACAAATTAACAAATAAGAAATAGAAAAAGGGGATGGAGATTTATCGCTCAACAGTTTTGAATATACAGTAACTGTTTGCCACTGAAGGAGACCTCACTTAATGAAGCATCCAGCCTCGGCCATCTATTGATCAACTCCTCTCATTTTAACTAAACTAATTAGGAGAAAAAACAGAGGTACTTGTAACTATATGTAGGGTTACATTAGGCTCTATATTAACTGCATTACTGCAGCAGTGCATGAAAAACATTTTCACAATGCATCTTCAAGGACCATAGCAATTTACATGAATGTTTACAAGGCCCAGGGACAGAGCTATTATTCATGCTAACAGTGTATGATTGAGTGTGCCTGGTTATATTGCACATGTTTATCTCATTTGTTTTTCTCTTAGCTAAGTGTTTGCAGCATGATCAATGCCACTAGTCTTTGGGGATAGCTAATTAGGAAAGGAAGAGCCAAACTCAATAGGAAGCTGCTATTTTTCCCCCTAAATAATAGGAAAAATGTCATTTTTAGGCATCATTGGCTGACATTATTTTGAAGTTATAATCTGTATCCCAAATCATAAATGAGGGAACCTCATATTCAACATGATGCACTGAAGAAGAACCAGGGCTTTTCATCCTTTATCATAATATTCTCATATCCAACTCGAAACCATTGTTAGTGCAGCAAGGACTCAGCTTTGATATATGTGGCTCCAGCTCTACCAGGTAAGCTAGCAGGGCCCACCAAATGAATACATCTGAATACATCATGCATCCTTAATTTCTGCTACACAGTGAATGTTAAGTAGTAAATATATTATTTGTGTGCTATTAAAACATCAAAATGACTTACAAGAAAACAACAGGAGAGAAAGAGATGGTAAATGAATGTATATCCATACTCTAAAAGCAGCCAAGAATCACATGATTGCAAAGGATATCAAGAAACATTTTGTTGGCCATCTTTGTTTAGGATACGAAGTGCAGTTAACTTGCTCGTCGAAAGCATGAAATATCCCCTAGTCCAATAAGAGACGTGCAAAATGAAAAAACGAGAAATCCTGAGAAAATGAAATGCAGTTTCATATGTTGTGTGATGGATTATTTCTAATCTCTTGAGTATTTAACGCTGCAGCAAAAGGGAGCCTGGTTAACAGTTGGATAGGAAAGGAGAAACCTACAAATGTGATGGAAAAACAGTGAAAAGAAGACACACACTTAAAGGTGTCCCCCAGCACTTCCTTCCACTCATGTCCCCTTTGATTTGACAGGAAGATGTCACAACACTTTTGAACACACTCACACACTGTCTCACACACACACACACACACACACACACACACACACACACACAAGTTTTTCTTTTCAAACCAGTTTCCATGCTGTAGATAAGAGGCAAAGCTACCTATCTTTCAACTAAAGACACTGTGTACTGTACTGCGCCTCTGGCTATCCCATTCTGGCCCACTTTACTGTATCAATAACAAAGTAAAACCTTTAAATGAGAGAGATCAAGCGCTCCTCTGATATCATCATGATTACTATGTGCACATAACAGTAAAGAGGGGTGTTAGATGGTTTTAGATCTGGCTTGCTGTGGGGTGGAAAGGGGCAAGCTGAGGCATGCTGGGAGACTCCAGCACTTTCCTGTGTTAGTGGTGTAGATCAGAGGAGTAGAGGAGAAAGGGAAACCAGTGTTTTCACTGATTGATATTGTGATCTAACAAGCAAGGGATCTGTCAGTTGTAATTTTAGATGTTCAAAGATCCTCTGGAGAGGATGTGTTAAAAAAGGGAAAACAAAATACAGGTAAAGCTGTTCTCGCTTTATGAGAGAGTGAAGAGTAAATGAGCAACAACAGCATCCTGTCTTTCAAATAGGAGGGAATAAACCCTGATATAAAACAGTTTGAAAAGCCCTTCGGTCCCTTTCTATCCAGAGTAAACTGTCACTGTTACAGATTAACAATTTATCATATCCATATAAGATAATAAAAATCATTCTCTCTGAGCCCTTTAGATAAAGCCACAAATGCATTGCAATTGAACCAAAACAAGTCTGTTTTTCTTAGATCCTGTTAAGTTCATATTTTAGAGACACAAGATTTTCCCATGACAGCAGCCAAATGCTTCAGTGATGTTGCTAAATGGAAGAATGGCCATATTTTGCAGCTTCCAGTTCTGAAGTGTTGTGAAACTGTCTAAGTATGTGCTCATTAAGACTTTTGCCTACCATCTTGTTCTGTCTTGGTCAGCTCCACGAGTTTCTTCTGTTTCAGTGTGTCCACCACATCTGCCAGGCTTCCTTTGCGTCGCTCCGGTGTCCCGAAGGCGAGAGCATTCATTGGCTCCCCGCGATCCCTGGAAAATTCCTCTGGCTTGGGTGGAGAGGTAGAGTTAGTACGGTAGGAGTAGATTGAGCATCCTTTACTGCTTTCATTATCCTGGGAGGAGACAGAAAATAAAGCGAACAAAGGTTAGTTAATTTTTTATTTGATTTTGATGAAGCTGATGCTTGCTTACTGGTGCTTTACCTTGGTATGGGCTGGCAGGCATGACACTTGGAGAGGTCAATGTTAGGATCGTATTTTACCTACAACTTTATCTACAACTGACAGAATCTGATAATTACAGTAGTTGATCTATCTGTCATCAGGAGCTCTGTGGTGTGGTGTCCCATCACATCTCTTTAAATTGGTTAGGTCTACTCTTGTATCTATTATTCTACTATTACACATACAAGTCAGTGTCTGTTGCAATTGAAGTTTTTTCAAAATAAGGAGTTGGGCCCACAAATAGTCAAAAAGAAATTTCACATCTCTCCCCTCATTTCCTGTCAGTGCTTTACTGTCATCCATTTAATAAAGGTATAAAATGCCCATCACAAACTATCTCAAATCACAAATTTCTAATCCGCAATTAGTAATTAAATTCTGTCATTAATAATATCAAAAACTGTACAGCTCTGATTAGTTCTAATATTTTATTTATTGTCTTATTATAAGAATCGCAGTCAAGGGAATGGGAATTTGTACCAGGCACAAATTCCCATAAATCAAACAAAAACCACTACTGTTCAAAGTCTGGAATCACCTACCATAAAAGCTTGATTCGTACAGTCAGATGGCTGACAGGACTACTCTATATTTTTGAATTCAATCAGGCTTTTAGGTTGTTGAAAGTCCACTTTACAAATAGATGTTATTCTGCATGCAAAAATAGCTTGGACAATGTTGTGATGATGTTGCTTACAACAGTATTCCACGTGCGTCAGGCAACACTGTGGGTGCATCGTCGAAATGGAAGTTTTAATCTTTTTTTTTCTTTTGGGGACAACATTTTTTTAAATGTAAATAGTGCATTTAGATGCTGACTTGTACTGTTTTTGTACAGTAGTGAACATGTTGGCACAGTTATTACCAGCTTGGTCCTTGCTCTACATTTATAGACAATTGTCTATACTAGTAGAAGTAACTACATTGATATGAATGCAGAGTGGCTCACTGATGTATGCTTTGACATATATTAGGCCTAGAAATATAAATAACTAAACATTCAAGCGAGACGTTTTTCTTCCTTACAATTCAGAATAATAATGAAGCTAACACAAAGCTGGTGACTCAAAACTTGTTGATAATACATAATACATATCTAATAGGCTTTCCTATTTTGTGCTGCATGACGAAAGTGTTTTCTATCCCACTGCTGTTTGCTCTGCTGAGTTATGAGATAAGCAAGAGGCACAAGGAGTCTATATTTACCAAGAAGATAAGCCCTTCAAGACGACCACATTGTCCCACACAACAGACACTTTAGCACAGGTGTTCTAACACCGGGGCTATTTCTGGACGCTTTCTCCTGCCCTTACAGAGTGGGGGGATCTCCAAGAACTTTATGAGGCTTATGTTTCAAAGACAAGGGGCTTTGGCTAACAGCGGGATCTTAAGACGCCCTTGAAATGGCTCCAGGAGGCCCTGTTGTGCACTTTGTCTTTAAGCGGAAGATGCCTCTGTAATGAGGATTAGGAGATAGTGTGTCACTTGTGGATTGTTGAGGTGTGTTTTTTTCAGGTCCGTACATAACGCTGCTCAGGAGTTATACAAGCAGTGTGGTGAAGGCAGGAAGGCCTGAGATCAGATTATATTATATACCAAAAGGTCACACATTTAGTCTCTGTAGCAGACAATGACAGCCCATGACTCTTTGCAAGCTGTCCTTGAGCAAGGCACCGAACCCTGATCTGGATACTTACTAGATGTCACTCTGGATACAAAGGCATTATGCATGAATGTAATATTTCACTGAGCATATCAAAAGCTTTGGTTAGCTTATGAAAACCTTCACTTATTCGCCAATGAAGTCTAAACTTGTCCCACAATTTTTTTTTTTTGTCCCTCACTGGTGGAGTCTGGTGGCAAGATGTAGAGTAGCAAGGTCACCTTTTCTGTCCTCACCATGTCCGTCTTCCATATTAGTGTTTCATTTATTCAATGCTATTTTGTGTGGTGTCACCACTTTACCCTTTTGCCAACTATCTAGAAGTGATATTTGCTGTTTTAATTAGCAAATTAAGATGCTTGAAGAAGGCCTGCTTCAAGTATTCAAGAACTTTTGGCCTTGATGTCATTTTAAACCCTGAAAATGATGCAAGTAAAGGCACATTTTCAAATAATTTAATTAATATAATGCATTTAAAGTTAACAGAATGGTTAAATATAATTGGGTTATAATGTCAAAATTAACTAAAGAAAATATAATTATGTTTTAGTCAAATCAGACAATCCTAAATTCAAATTATTTTAAAAATGAATAGGACTTTTGTCTTGGAATTGTTAAATGGACTCTGCCACAACATTTATACCTGAGGAAACTTTATTCTCAAAACTTTCCACTTTCCTCAGAGGCTAAAGTCAAACACGACTCTTCCATTAGGGACCAACAGAACCTGAAGCCAAGTAACTAACACCGCAACACACACACATACACACATAAAAAAAGGCTGTGGAGATGAGAGGAACCATCTCTAGAGGGGAACCCTCCCTGGGCTGCCTACAGCACTGCCCGCAGCACACAGACCACAGAAGACTACTGGCGTGTGGGTGTGTGTATGAATATACATGCTTTCACATGTATGTGTGTTCAATTGTGCACAATCATCATTATGCATGAGAATTTGCACACCCTGTGTACTCCTGCATGTATTTCACGAGTGTTTTATGAGTCTTGTGCCCTGAGTGTGTACACTGTGTACACACACTAACCACATTTATTTTATAGAGTTGAGTTATAGCAACATATCTCAAGATAAGATATGGTCAATTTCTCAGCTCTGTACGTAATTCACATCTCACCATTGCAGCAGGCACCATGTTCTCCCACTCAGCATCTGTCAGCTTCTCTCTGATTGGCTGCAGCTCGTCCGGGTGGGGTTGGTCATACGAAGAGGGAGACTGTGCCTCCTTTGGGCCCTCCCGCTTGTCGTTGGCCCAGGCCGCATTGTCCTGACCCATCACTTCCTCTTCCTCAGACGGTGGGTGGAAGGGAGGCGTTTCTCGCATGGAAGACATCATTCTGTGAAAGAAAAGAGGGAAATGTTTTAATTTTGTGGCCACAGTTTGTACCGGAGAAATATGATATGGCATTTTAGGTTAGTTTGAGGAGGAGAGGAGAGGAGAGGAAAGGACTTCCAACACATTCTTCTCAACCATGATACAGGAAAGATCAAGTGAGCCATGAACGGCTGAAGGTCTAAACTTCTGCTGCTAATCACTCAACGATAAAGAGTGAGAGATATTGATCACCAGTGAGACTGTAACCAAAACCTCCCTGGAAGCATTGGTGAGGATGCTGTGGAACATTGCAAACACTAAAATGTGAAAAATAAGAACATTTTCCATTGTCTTTAATTCTTAAAGGACACATTTACCCAACTTAAATTAATTATATTTTAGTACTTGTTATTAATTTATTATATCTGTTGTAACATGTGTTAGTGCTTTACTTTATGAATTCTGATCCAAATATGTGCATTGTATCTAGAAAACTCTAAATCAGCCATAATAACATCAAAAAATGTAGGGTTCTCTTTTGAGCATGTTGAAGGACACTTTTATTCTGAGCAACTAATGACTACAACAAATTCATGCTGAATGTTCCTCACACATGCACATTAAGCACATATTGCCACGGGGATAATCTATTAATCTATTAACCAGCATCAAGACCTCTCATCACCTCAGAGCTGTTAAGAAAGCAGACGCTGTGCTACTGAGTTTCAGTGGAAAATTTTCTCTTTTTTCTAATGTTAACGTCAGCCTGGGAGAGTCATTAGGCTAATACATCATTTACTGTAATGACTTCCCTTTGTTGCACTATCGTTATGAGGACTTTCATTGACCACATTTATTCCCTTACCCTCCTCTGTTGTAGCCTAGCCTCAGCCCTAAATTTGTATTTTAAATCTAAACACAGGCCCACTTTAAAGGATTTCCCACTTCTTTCTGTCATTATATAGCTAATTGGTCCTTGTAAGTAAAAACACAAGTACACATACACACACATACACACACAATTCCATAGAAAAATACACACCCACACAAAATTGCTATGAGATAACAATGCAAATTTCAGCAGATGTCAGAGTGTTATGAATTGTTTTTGCTCTGAATTCTGAAAAAACGTCCCCTTCCACTCCACACACCAGTCACCCATGAGCACACACATACACAACTTCTGTGAAGTAAAACAGATTGCTACTTCAGTGTTAGCACTCAGTAAATCACAGCAGTCTGTCCATCTCTGAAATATGTAGCCTCCTGGGTGCCCTTGAATGTAAATCTGACCGTCAGTCAAATGTCTGAAGGGAAGCATGGTTGTGGAGTGCATGTGTGGGAAGGCAGCAAGGGGTGAATATACTAAATTTACAGAAGCAGTTGATAAAGAGTGAGGTGACAGACTGAATCCAAATGTAAATTGAGAGAAAAAATATGAATAGACGGAGAAAATTGAGAAATTGGAGAAAACTCACTCATATAAAATAGCTCATTTCCATGTGGGTTTGAATGTTGTAAAGTGATTCTGAGGGTCATGATGTTCTGTGAATGTCGTCTTTAACTACCTGTGTTAGAATGCAGCTTCCAGTTACTCCGTTATGCAGGTAACATCAGTGGAGGGCTGGGTAGTGTCATGACATGAAAACTGATACTCACTCAACTCTGACCTGAAGATGTTGTTGAACTATTAATAGTACACCATCGTAACTCACCTTGGAAACCAAACGCAAGTCTAATTTACTCAAATTTTGAAAACATTCTCATTCATGCTCACGTTCAACTTTTGTTTCTCTCTACAAACGTCAGCTTTACCAAGTAAAGGATTACTGTGACTTTTGCCTGCTGTTCCCAAAGTTGATAATAAGGTAATTGAAGATTATGCACTGTAAATTTGCCGCGATCAGAGCAAAAGCTAAATACATGAAGCTGCTACAATCAAAATGTTAATATTGATACAAGTTCTGAAACACTGCACGATACCTGTCCGACACCAAGCATCAGTCAGACAAAGATAGCAACTAACTGGTGAAGAAACTGGAACATTTAGCAGCTTAAGAGCCATTTAATTCTTTCAGGGGTTGGTGCTCAACAAAAAGTTGAGTTTAAAAGTTCAGAATTCAAGTCAAATGCTAAAGGAGAATCTCTTTGCATATCTGAACTAATCCTAGGGATAAATACAACAAAATAAAGGCAAGATTATCTCTGACATTATGGCTTAAGAGGTATTTAGCAAAGGAGATAGTAACTAGACTGTACAGTGCTGAAATGTGGAGTTGAGCAATCACTGAATAATAACTTCCATGTAGATACAGCTCTGTGTTAAACGAAGCTTTTGTGATTGTATGCTTTTTCTGCTTGACTGATATTTACATTTTTTATAAATGAAAGCTCTATTTTGTGATACCTGAGAGACCTCTGCCAGTAATGGGAAGGATACCAAATGGTTACAATCATTTCACCTAGGGTCTTGGTGACGTCTAAGGTCGACTTTTCAATAGTTTAAGCATGTTTTGTTTTAGACCTTTATTGGTAGTTTCTTTATTTATTTTTACAACTAGCCATCGGTGCCATGCTCCATCCATAGCCTGAGTTGACTGATTGCAGTGGCAACAGCTGTTGCCAAGGTTTCAGTTTCTCCAGACCTTCGTTGTTTTACACAGTGCTATGAGTACATGAGATTATAAGACCCCAGACAACCAACAAACAGCAAATCCCTAATCCATGATCAACTCCTGCAATCCACACTGGAGCGATGAGAGAGTGATGGGGAGCCAGGAGGGAGAAGGCAAAGGAGAACCTATATTTAGCTGACAATATTGCTGTTGCTGTGTTTATGGGGGTGCTTAAGACTTAGTTTCTTGGAACTGGTGTCTCATATGGCCAGGAATGCCCAGCCTCATAACTTGGTGCCACTGATATGGTTTCATCGTGCAATAGTTGGGGGGTTTGTTGTTAAGCATGCCACAAGGCCCTTTGTGATTGGACAGTGTACTTAATGCACTCGTCATCAGGCAAGAATCAAATTACTAGGGTTTAGATGACTCTATTGTTTAACTAACATGTTAAATGTTAAGCTTGACCAATTCGTAATTCTGTGGACTGAGTTTAGGAGCTATGGTAGTTTTTTTTGTCACATGACTTGTTAAGGTTAGGATGAAGGGTGAGGATTTGTTTTCAATAAAGCAAACACATACTTTTTGCTACTTAAATTGCGTTATTTGTTGCTATACCTTAAATACGTTTTCCTGAGTTAATGAAAATTATGCTAATGATTTGGGAACATACATAACATAAAATTTTTTTCAAATGATGCCAGAAGACTGACTCCAGAGTGTAAAATGAAAAACACCTCAAACAGCTCCATTCACTATAAAACAGTGTCAGAATAAAGAACCAAACATCAGGTATAACCATAATGGGTTGTAATAGAGGAGGAACTCCCATCCAGCCCATTTACTTGTTGCCAACAGCCTGCAACTGCTGTCAGGACATGAAGAAAAACAGAGAGATACTGTGCTATACTTTTGGGATGTCAGCCATCACTAAAATCGGACATCACTACTTTTGCAGAAAAACATTATCACTGCAGATTTTTCCAAATCAGATTGGAAGTTTAAACAGCTTTTTATGGTTAAACAAGGTTCCCTTTGAATCTGTTAAATCACTGCACTAAAAAAAGATGCATGAGCATTATAAGAAAATAAGCATGTATTTGTTCCCTTCATTTCTGAAAAAACTGAAAACATTTTGGAGATGTGGGTTTTTCGTCTGACCACAGCACTTACGCCTGGCAATATCAGGCCCTTCCCTACTGAGACATAGGAAGAAATTGAGTGATTAGGGCTGAAGGAGTAACCTTCTCCCAACGAGCCCAACAAAAGAATGAGTTTGCCTACATGCGTCACTCTCAGGAAACAGTAATATGACGATAATGGTACACTGATAGCTGAAAAAGAAATTCATACATCATTTACACACATCGCCTTGAGACTCTCCAAAAGCCTTTTATATTGTCAGACATCTACCAAAAAAAAACATCAACTCCTCTGAAAGCAGTTCCCCTGTACAAGATATTTCTTGGAAAGTGACAGTGGTGTGATTGCCTGTTTGAAACCTAAACAGAACATGCACTGTTCAGTAAATAGTTTTTATTTTTTATGCATTTTAGATTTGGAGCGTGGGGTCAAGTTGGAAGGACGATCCCAAAAGTAGGGTTAACATCTGACATACAGCTGTATACCTAATGTAATTGATAATCACAGTTAAGGTATGCCCAGCAATGTTACTTACTGTTCTCTTTGAGCATTTTGGTTTAAGATCCCTTCCTCCCCTTTGTTGTCTATGGGAATTCTTACAGCCAACCTCAGAGACACATTCGATAAACAAACTGTTGCTGGTAGACAGCTAGCTAATTCCCATTCTAAAATGTGGACAGTAACTTAGAATCCCTTTGTGAGTGGAAGAAAAACGAAAACCGGGGTCGGAATTTGGCAGGAAAGTGTTGCTGAGATCTGGCCTGGAACCTGGCGACTTGGCAGAAACAATCAGGCATTGTGGAGCGTGGACGGAGAGGGACCTGTGACAGATGAGAGCGGGAGAGAGGGAGAGAGGGGCCCCCTCTTAGAAAAACAGTACACAAAGCGCCATTCACAACCCAAGTCCCTTCTGCCACTTGTGGAGCAAGAGAAGGGCTCTGACAAAGGCCTTCGACTCAACCAATTGGGTGTAAAATCTCCAGCCGTCCCAGCTGGATAAAACTGAGGAAGTGGGAAATACCAAAGAGAAGGAGAAACAGAGAATGAGAGGAGAGAAAACACAGTGGGAGAAAGAAAACTGAGGACCTTCCTTGGAACTGTTTGTCTGTAGGGCAGTCCCAACAAGAAAATATGGTGGAAGAAAAGAAAAGGGAAACTAAAGGTTTAACAGAGGAAAAAACAGAGTGCCTATATTAGCAACTGAAGCAACTCAAACTAAATCACTGGAAAGATGACATTATTGGTGGTATCCTTGTAAACATCC